CACTTGATTTTAACAGTTGTGACAAAATTGATAATAAAGCCTTTCCAATTTACCGAGCAACAGTGAAACGAAAACCACTTCAAAGTCTTATCCACAGTTTACGAATAAACTTATTAAACATGATGCCCGCAAACTTTGACATACGCTTGATATGTTTCTAGTATTTTTTGACAGGTATTTGTTCAATAAATACGGATTTTCAGTAGAATTTTGCATCCGTAACTTAGTAACCAGGCATTACATCGGACGATGAAAAACTAGTTTCCAGGCCGTTCGCCTAAAGTAGATTGAAACGCCTGGACGTTGAAAATTCGTCACGAACGAAATGGCGTGATTTCCTCGCTATTTTAGGAGAAAAACTACTTCAAAATAATCAATCTCTTCGAACGCTTCCCTTCGCATCAACGAATGTACTCAACAAATGGTCAAAGCACGAGCGCAGATTTAAGTCTGACCATCATAAATTCACCAATCGCGGGACTTTCTACGCAGTGCGGCATGGGAACTGCTAACAAACAGATAACCTGAAGAGGAGGCTGCCTTATGCGGGTAGCAACCTGCATCTCGCACGTAAATAACTTGAACAATACTTAATGCAAGCTAACACAACAATTTACAATCCTTATCACACCCGGGGGCGAGGGTTGTGCTGGGAGAATACAGCCTGGGGTCTATCTTTATCAGTTTTTAATTGACAATATCTTATATCTTAACAATCTCTAGTCCTAAAATGAAGAACAGGAACCCTCTTCTTGGTCAGAAAATATGCTCTGATATTTGTCCACGGATGTTTCGAGAAGCGAACATTTTTATGCTAAATACGCGCTAGCACTTAATTTCGTCAAATAAGTTTAACACTCGGTCAAAGTTGTGCGAAGTAAGGATAAGCTGATAGTGTTCAAGATAATTTGTTTCTTCGAGCTGCCGACAGCCCAAGGGCGTATTTTCACAAGCGTCTTGATAGCAAATAAGCCATGTAGCCAGACAGTCCTCAAAACCTCTGCGTTGTTTAATAGTATGTTCTAATATTAGAACTTAACTTAACGGCCTCAAAGCTCATTACATTGTCTATTCTTATAGTCAACATTAAACAAAGCCCTACTTTAAACACAAACAAAGCCCAACTGCACACTGAAGAAATGTTTCATGCGTATATATGAGCTTACATGCGTAAAAAAGTAATAAAAACTAAGACAACCAGATTTTTAAAATCAAATATTAGCAGGGGATCAACAACGGATTAGGGAAATCACGGAACCTGGGCACGCAACGTACACTAATTCCATCTAACTGTGATAAGTACCAGAAGGTGGGAAAAGAGAAATTAAGAACGACGAGAAAGTTGTGGTCTTATGGAGACTTTCCTTAATGGGGAACGTTCAAAATAAGGTTGCGTGATAGCAGGAGCCATAAT